AAAAAAAAAAAAAAAAAAGAAATGTAAGTGAGATATGGGACACAGTAAAAGGTCTGTAACTGAAGCCCCAGAAAGAACGGAGAGAATGGAGCAGAAACATTATCTGAAGAGATACTGGCCAAGAATATTTCAAAATTAAGAAAAGACATCAAGCCACAAATTCAAGAAACTCTACAAACTCCAAGCCATAAATATTACACATACACCTGGACACATCTTGAGAAAACTGCTAAAACCTAATGACAAAAGAGAAACACTTAAAGGCAGAGAGAGCAAGGGGAAAAAAGACACATTACCTCCAAAGAGCAATAATTTTTCCTGACAGGTGGCTTTTAAATAGAAACCATGGAACCAGAATATCTCTAAAGTGCTGAAAGAAAATAACTGTCAACTTAAAATTCTATACACATTAAAGATAACATTCAAAAGTTAAGACAAAATAAAGGCATTTTCAAAGAAACAAAAAAACTGAATGTCACTAAAGAGATTTCTTCAAGAAGAAAAATAACCCCAAAGATAAACATGAAGATGCAAAAAAGGAATGAAGAGCAACAAAAATGATAAATATGTAGGTAAATCTAAAAGAATATTGACTGCGCAAAACAATAATGTCTTAAAAAAATTTAAATACACAGATTAAAATACATGATAACAACAGCATAAAACTCATTTTAGTGTTTAAGGTCCTTGCATCGTCGAAAAAGTTATAAACATACTACTCTAGTAAGCCAAGGATGTACGATGTAATTTCTAAAATAACAACTAAGAGAATAATGAAAGAATGTATAACTAACAAATGAATAGAAAAGAAATGAAATAAAAAAACAGCTGATTAATCCAAAAGAAAGAGGGGGGAGGAAGACAAATATTAAGGCAATAGAAAATACTAAAATTGTAGATTTAAACACAAATATATCATAATTACATTAATAACAAATGGACAAAATACTCTAATTAAAAGGCGGAGGCTTTACCAAACTGGAATGAAAAAATACAATGTTAACTATATGCTTGTTCTATAAGACATGTGCCTTAAATACAAGTACACAAAATGTTTACAGATAAAAGAATGGAAAACGGCATACACACAAAAAGTAATCAAAAGAAAGTTGATAAAGATACAGTAGATTTTAGGGCAGGAAGCATTACTAAAGATAAAAAGGAAGACTATATAATAATAAATGGGCCAATTATAGGGGAAAAAATAAATATTCTAAATACAAAGTACCCAATAACATTGCCTTAAAACATAAAACAAAACACAAAAGAGCATGTACTGTATGATTCCATTTATAAAAAGCTCAAAAAGACTAGTAGTTAGCTTTGGGGGAGTGTACTGACTTGGAGGGAGCAAAATAGAGGGTACTGAGGTGCTATGAATGTCCTACTTCTTTATCTGGGTGGTAGTTACAAAGCCATATTTGCTTTGTTAAAGTTCATAAAGTTATTTGCTTATGATTTCTGCACCTTTTGGTACTTTGTTTCTTAAAAACAAACTATAGAAAGCAAAAGCAACAGAGTGATCTAGAAAACTCAAGACAGACGTTATCTCCAGTGGGGACAAAGATGGAACACTAAGAGCTTGAACAATATTGGTAACATTTTACTTCTTAAATTAGGTGACTTGTTTATTGTATTATCATACTTCATAACATACATATGTTGAATATATGCATCTGTACATATCAAATACTTCCAAATTTTTAGACAGAAAGAAACTCCTTATACACTAACATGTCAATAATAGCTTGACAATGAGTGGCTGGACTGTGTTTTATTTTTATTCTTTTTATTTTTCTGTATTTTCCAATTTTATAAAATCAGGCTTTATTTTTTGGTAATTAAAAAAAAATCTAGTTTTTCAAAAGGAAAACTCTATCCCAATTTTCCACTCAGTTGTCTACAAAACACTTGAAGTAAAAGTGTATTTCATATCTCAAAATAAAAAATAGCCACACAACAGATGTGCGAATTAAATTACTGCAAAAAAGGAAATGAAGAAACTCTTTAGGATAATGGAAATGTTACGTATCTTGATTGTGGTGGTAGTAATACTGATGTACACATTTGCCAAAATTCACTGAACTGGACATATAAAATGAATGAATTTTACTAAATGTAAATTATATCCCAATAAATTTGATTCTAGAAATTATTCTTGCACAGATACATTCGAGGCAATTAGAAAACAACAGTTTACATACAGTACCTACAAATTCCACAGTTTTCACAATGATACTGCTTCTTGTCTTTGTCAAACAGATGGCATATACTACAATAATATTCTCCAAACAATGTGCTACATTCTTCACAAGTCTGCTGGGCCTATAAAAAGACAGAAATTGGAATAAATTTACCCAAACATTTTGAACTAACATTTAAATATCCAGAATTTGTTAAAGTATATGAAATTTTATTTTTAGAAATTCTTAAACATCTAAATCAAAGACATTGCTTACTCCAAGAGTTAGAGGTCTTATTTGCAATACTTGAGTAAATTTTTGTTCAAACCACTTTAGTAAAGAAATAGAAATGAAATAGAAATGTCATGAAATCTTACATGTTGAATTTTTTCACAGTTTATGCACTGCACTTCCTTTACTTTAAAGCGGTCTAGCTGATGGTCTTCATTGTTATCGTGACACAACCGACAAGTATAAAGCTTGTCACAGCAAGGCGCCTAACCCACAGGGGAGAAAAAAAGGTTATAAGAAGAGAGAAGACAAGTTTGTAATACCAAAAGAAAATTTCTTCCTTCTTCTCCTGGAATAAGGTCAAATATTACAACCCATAGAACAGTTAAGAAACTGATCCAAAACACCTTTTCACTGTTTCATGGCATATTTTATTCAGTGACTACTCCCTTCAACATCTACACATCTTTACGAAGTTGCACAACCTTGTCCTTAAAGACAAAAGGAGCATGAAGGATGGAAATCCCTAGCCTGAAAACTAATCCACAACACCCTAATCTCATTCTCAGTCCTAAATGCCAGATAGGAGTCCTCTTCTTAAACATTTCCAGATAAACTCCTTTACATACTTAAACCCCTAAACATTAAAAATTATAAAAACTTTTTTAGTTCATTAGTATTTATTTATCATCAACTATATATCTGATATCATACAGGATGCAATAAAAGTAAGAGACAGCCCTTACTTTCAAGAGGGGCAAAGATTGCCGCTTGTCCACCAAAATCTATTCTCTCCTTCCTGGGTACCTGAACGCCCAGACTCCCTTGCTGGGAGCGGTGGCAAAATGACCAAGTTCTTACCAACAGAATATAAACAGATGAAATCAGTGCCACTTCTGGTCCTGAGTATTAAGAAACTGGGCATGCCTCCTCCTCCATGCTCCCTTTCTCTTTTCCATCAGATAAAACCTGGACACGGCAGCAACCCACCTTGGATGGACCATAGGGTTTCCTAGGCTGTAACCTTTATGGGAGCAGATCGCCAGGTCTCTTCTCTCACGAAGCAGCTGGTAGGTTCGATCTACCGACCTTTTGGTTAGCAGCACAGCACTTAACCATTGCACTACCAGGGCTCCTTACAGCAACTTAGCTTTACCCTAACTAGTACATCATGAGGTTTCTAGGCCAGTACTTTCTAGTACACTGTGACCTTGCAAATCCACCCATTTTTGAAACCTTCCTATGTTGTGACTTACCATAACATACATAGTTCGTTCCTTAAAGATTTTAACACTTAACTGGCTCCATCTCCAACATTATTCCTATCCTAATTCTTAGTGATCTGCACATCCACATTGATAATCCCTCCAATATCCTGAACTCTCAGTTCCTTGAATTTCTCACTTACCATGGCCTTGTTCTTCAAGACTCCTCAACCACATACTCTCAGTCATATAAAGAACAGTGGTTGTCAAACGTTTTCGTCTCAGGACCCCTTTACATTCTTAAAAAATATTAAGGACAGTACAGAGTTTTTGTTTATGTGGATTGTATCTATTGATATTTACCATGTAATCAATTAAAACTGATTTTTAAAAATATTAAGGATTACTTCTGTTTAAAACAGAAATAATAAACCTATAAATAAGACATTTTAATAATAACTGTATTTTCCCAAAAAAAAGCTAGATTTTCATATTTTCTTCTGCATTCAATCAGTTATATGCTGTTTTGATTGAAGTACATGAAGAAACTCTGGTCTCACACAAATATGTAGTTGCAAAGGGAGGAGTATTTTAAACAGCCTTTTCAGGTAACTATGGATATTCTTTTCCGATACTAGACCAAAACTCAACAAGTGGTAGTTTCTTAAAGGTGAGTTGCAATGTGGAATTTGAAATCCTATCAATGAACTTTCCTTCCTTTTACATTAAAATTGATATGGTGTATCTTGCACTTTGCATGTATCTTTTACCCATGCATTAGTCATTTGGAGATTACCAGTTCACTGGCTTACACAGCACTTCTAAATGTTCATGGGTTTTAACATACAATATAAAAAAAATCACGTTCATTAGTATCACTACTCATCTCATCAGAAAAGTCTTTAGGTACTGGGAAGTTTTCAAGCTCACAGTGACTAATATAAGTTTTCCAAAATCCTAAGTTTGAGGCAAAAGCTCAAATTTTATCACTGGCAACAAATACTGTCAACTGTTTCCCTTGAAGTGACAGTCTCATTTCCTTCCTTTTCAAGAAAATATTGCTAAATACCCAATTCTGAATAATCACAGTTCTTTCAAGTAAAAAAAAAAATGTTGTTCAACAGAGTGACTAGTTCAGCTCGCAACTCAACTGCATAAGTGCTTTTCCTTAAGACAATCATATTTCAGTTTGCATAAGTGCTTGATGAAAACTTCCCATTCCATCAAACAATATTAAAAAAACATGTATTCAGAGAGTGATATTTATCAAATAATTTTATCAAAATTAGTAGTTTTATTGCTTCATCAATGATATTAAGTGAAACTGGCTTTTAACTACAGGTATACTACAGCTCAGTGGTACTGCCCTGATTTGCGCTAAGGGCAGTTTTACACGTCATTGCTTTCCCACTATCGGTGCAAATGTCAAGACACTGATAAAAAACAATACCTTAGTATCAGTATGAACTCTGATCTTGTGGAGGCCCTGAAAGGGTCTCAGAGACCTCTAAGGGTTCATTCACCATACTTTAGCTGCTCTAGAACAAGAACAGCACCCTCTTTGTATCTCAATTTCAAACACGAAATTCTCTAACTACTACCTCTTATCTTCCTAACTCCAATTCTCCCCTTGCATGCACCCTCACTCCCTCATCCCTTCTCCCACTACATACTCACCTAGCAAAACCCAAATTTTGGTTAAATCTATCTCTATCCTTCTCTACCTATACAGGAATAGCTAAATATGGCTAGAGAAAAAACATTATCATACCAACTGGTCTCACTTTGAAGTCCTGTTGTTAAGTTCTGATGAGTCGACTGCAACTCATACCGACCCTACGTACAGGAGAATGAAACACAGCCCAGTCCCACACTATCCTTACAATCTTTACTATGTTTGAGACCCCTGTGGCAGACACTGTGTCAATCCATTTCAGTGAAGGTCTTCCTTTTTTTGGGCGACCCTCTACTTTACCAAGCATGATGTCCTTCTCCAGGGACTGGTCCCTCCTGATAACATGTCCAAAGTATGTGAGATGAACCCTCACCATCCTCGCTTCTAAGGAGCATTCTGGCTGTCCTTCTTCCAAGAAAAGTTTGTTCGTTCTCCTGGCAGTTCATGGTACATTCAATATTCATCACCAACACCATAATTCAAATGCATTAATTTTTCTTCAATCTTTCTTATTCACGTTCAGCTTTTACACGCATATGAGACAATTAAAATACCACAGCTTGGGTCAGGTGCACCTTAGTCCTCAAAGTGACGTCTTTGCTTTTCAACACTTTGAAGAGGTCTTTTGGAAAATGTTCTGCAGCCTACTTTGATGAGTGGCGTCTGGCATCTTAAAAGCTAGCGAGCGGCCATCTAAGATGCATCAATTGGTCCCAACCCCCCTGGAGTAAAAGGAGAATGAAGAACACCAAAGTCACAAGGGAAGTATTAGCCCAAGAGACAGAAAGGGCTACATAAACTGAAGACTGCATTAGCCGGAGACCAGAAGAACTAGATGATGCCTGGCTACCACCAATGACCGCCCTGACAGGGAACACAACAGAGTCTCCCTGATGGAGCAGGAGAAAAGTCGGGTGCAGAACTCAAATTCTAGTAAAAAGACCAGACTTAATGGTCTGAGACTGGAATAACCCCAGAAAGCAAGCCCCTGGACTATCAACCCAGCACTAAAACCATTCCCAAGGCCAACTCTTCAGACAAAGATTAGACTGGATTATGGAACATAAAATGATACTCATGAAGAGTGTGCTCCTTAGCTTGAGTAGATACATGAGACTAAATGGGCAGTTCCTTCCGGAAGTGAGATGAGAAGGCAGAGAGGGTCAGGAGCTGGTTGAATAAACACAGGAAATCAGGGGTGGAAAGGGGCAGTGTGCTGTCACAGTATAGGGAGAGCAATTAGGGTCGCATAACAATGTATGTGTAAATCTTTGTATGAAAGACTAACTTGAATTGTAAACTTTCACTTAAAGTACAAGAAAATTAAAAAAAAAAAAAAAAAAAGAGGTCTTTTGCAGCAGATTTTCCCAGTGCAGTATGTCGTTTGATTTCTTGACTGCTGCTTTCATGGGCATTGGTTGTGGATCCCAGTAAAATGAAATCCTTGACAACTTCAGTATTTTCTCTATTTATCATGATGTTGCTTACTGGTCCGGGTGGGAGGATTTTTGTTTTCTTTCTGTTGAGATGTAATCCATACTGAAGGCTGTAGTCTTTGATCTTCATCAGTAAGTGCTTCAAATCCTCTTAGCTTCCAGCAAGCAAGGTTGTATCTTTGCATATCACAGGTTGTTAAGGAGTCTTCCTCCAATCCTGATGCTGCATTATTCTTCATATAGTCCAGCTTCTTGGATTATTTGCTCTCCATACATATTGAGTCTTAAGTATGGTGAAAGGATACAATCCTGACACACTCCTTTTCTGATTTCAAGCCATGCAGTCTCCCCTTGCTCTACTGGAACAACTGCCACCTGGTCTATGTACAGGTTCCTCATGAGCACAATTAAGTGTTCTGGAATTCCATATTTCCCCAGTCAATACCCTCATTTTTCTAAAGTTTAGGAGCTTGGAACTAGATTATTTCACATCTTCTCCCCTCTCTTCAAACCTCTAATACCTCTTCCCTCCTCCTTGAACTCTGCTGATGATCTTGCTTCTTATTTTACTAATAGAAATAATCAAAAAGAGAACATCTACACATCCTCCTACAAACTCTATAAACCTACACGCAAATGTACCTCACGCTGTGCCTCCCCATCTGTTACAGTCTACAGCGTATGCTTCCATCTAAGATCAACTCCTCCACTTGTGCACTGGATCCCATCCCTACTCTGGCTACTCAAGGACAGTGCTGCTACAGTTTTCCCCTCCCACTCCTGCATTATAAAATGCTCCCACTTTTCTGGATCATCCCCAAATGTATACAGACATGCTGCAACATCTCCCATCTTAAAAAAAACAAACTATGATCCCACATCTCCCAGCAAAACACAGACTCATCTTATTGCTCTCCTTTACAGCAAAACTCCAAGAAATGTCTAAAAGCACTATCATCAGTTCCATTCCTTCCATTTTCTCTTGAAGCTCTCCTATTAGGCATTGCCCTGTCTCTCAACTGAAACACCTCTCGTCAAAAATACCAGCGATCTCCTGTCTTAGTTATCTAGTGCTGCTGTAACAGAAATACCACAAGTGGGTGGCTTCAACAAAGAGAAATGTATTTCTTCACAGTAATCTAAAAGTCCAAATTGGGGTGTCAGCTCCAGGGGAAGGCTTTCTCTTTTATCCGCTTTCTCATCAATCTTCCCCCGGACTAGGAGCTTCTCCGCGCTGGGATCCCAAGTCCAAAGGACGCGCTCTGCTCCCGGCACTGCTTTCTTGGTGGTATGAGGTCCCTCTCTCTCTCTGCTCGCTTCTTCCTTTTATATCTCAAGAGATTGCCTTAAGACACAATCCAATCTTGTAGACTGAGTCCTGCCTCACTAACACAACTGCAGCCCATCCTCCCTCATTAACATCATAGAGGTAGGATTTACAACATATAGGAAAATCACACAATACCGGGAATCATGGCCCAGCCAAACTGATAACACATTTTTGGGGGGACATAATTCAATCCATGACACCTCCTCCTTGCCAAATTCAGAGTTCATTTTTCATTCCCCTTTGCTCAAACAGCTGCATGTGATGCAGTTGATTACTCCCTCCTTGAAGCTCCTCACTTGGCCTCTGGTATTTAAGGAAGAGGTAGAGGAGGGCAAAAAAATGTTTGACACTGAATGAGGCATCTTAGAGCTATGAAACACAGATATAGCTGACTGATTTCTAATGGGGGACTTGGGTGGGAGGGAGCATAAGGTCAGACTGTCGAATTCAGTTTTAAACTTCAAGTTTGAAATAATAACAGAATATCTCAGTAGAAATGGAATCATAAGGATAGCATCCAATTTCCTTACACTAACTCTTAGTGAATGATCAACTTTGAAAGAGCTTCAACCAGTACACTGGAGCAGTGGAGCAAATCATGGCCTACAAAAAAGGCTTTAGGTTGTCCTTACAGGCCTGAGACTACCACTTCCTTCCGATGACTTTGGTCAGTGACCAACAGGGATGATTAGTGCAGTGAGACACTGAAAAAAAAAATATGGTAATGGTAGTCTACTCACTCTAGAGAAAAAAGCCTGGTGGCAAAGTGGTTAAGAATTTGGCTGTTAAGCATAAGGTCAGTGGTTGGAACCCACCAGCTGCTCCATGGGTGAGAGATGTGGCAATCTGCTTCTGTAAAGATTACAGGCTTGGAAACCCTATGGCGCAATTCTACTCTGTTCTAGAGGATCACTATGAGTCAGAATCGACTGGACAGCAGTGGATTTGGTTTTGGTTTTCACTCCAGGGAATGCCCCCTGCTAAACACTATACAAGGAGCCCTGGTGGCACAGTGGTCAAGCACTCACCTGCAAACTGAAAGGTCAGTGGTTTGAACTCACCAGCCTCTCCGCGGGAGAAAGATGTGGCAGTCTGTTTCTGTAAAGATTACAGCCTTGGAAATCCTATGAGGCAGTTCTACTCTGTCCTACAGGATCGCTACGAGTAAGAATCGACTCGATGGCCCCCAACAACAACAGACACTATACATGCACAAGCATTTAATCCTCATACTTTTCCTACGAAACAGAAGCACCTACCATCTCTATTTTACATACCGAAAGTAGCTTGCTCAAAATTACAGGGCTACTAAGGAGCAGAAATAAGCTTTGGGGGTAAGGCTATGAGACTCCAAGTCTCAAACTGTCAAGTAAAATCTTTATACTGTTTCTTGCAAAAAAAAAAAACTAGAAACTTTAATTGGGTGGATGTCAATTTTAAAAATTCTAGATTGACTATGAAGTTTTCTCAAGGTAAACAGCAAAAGTAATAATACATGCACCTCCTTATGCATACTTAACTTCCTAGTTGATGCCAATTACATGCTAGTCTTCCTATTTTCTCCTTGGCAGCTTCAGGCATACGCATTGACTCTAAAATGAGGCTGGCAGCTTGCAAAACTTAATTTACTACAGGAGCTGAAATCGTATGATTCTCCACTTGTGCATCCCCTTTCCAGTATTTCATCATACACCTGGAAATAGTTCTGGGTTCGAAAAAGCCCAGCAGAAGCCCGAGGTTGCCTCAGGCTCTTCCCAAGCAAAAAAGGATTTTGCTTGCCAAATATAAAGCAGGGAAGCAAAGTTGCGACTATGGCCGCCTTGCCAAAGACGTTTTCTACAGCAGGAACCCAGTTCGAAATGGAAGAGAAGGTATCCTGACCAACAGCCTACCCACATACTTAAGCTCAAGCGTAACCACCAGGCCCACCCCGCCCCCAGCCCAGCCCGACAGAAGCTCTTCAGGGAAGAGCCCATTGAAGCTGTCACCTTCAAGAGACATCCTCTGTCATAATGCTCGCAGCCCCGCCGCACTTGCTCTTTGCCGGAGACGCCATCTTCCCGCGCCGTCGCCGCCATCTCCTCCGCCTCCCCTCACACTCCACAGACCCTTCCCCCAGGATGAAAGCCACGCCCAGAGAGCCAGCGCCACTCTAGCATACCCCCTCCCGCGGCAACAGTCACCGGAGCTAATATGGCGGGTGAGCATGTGACCCGGGGCAGCCGGATTTCCGGTTTTCGGGGCGACGGGGCGGAAGCGAAGGGAGACGCAACCTCTGTTGTCGACGATATTTGCTATCTCCTCTGCTAACGGTAATAATTTTTAGGTTGCCTCTTCTTTTTTCCCCATCGCTACCCGCCCAAGTCCCGAGGCGTGGTACGGGGCGAGGAGGACCGCAGCGGCGCAGAGACGCCGGGCAGGCCCTGAGGAAGGGATGCTCTTCGGCCGCATCAGCACCTGTGACAGGGCGGCCCCTCCCTCAGTCCCCCTCAGGCGTACGGGGGCCTAGAGAAAGGGCGGAGCTGAACCCGGCCTGTAGATTCCGAGCGGCTCTTGGAGCGCGCGGTGTTGATAGACGCCGCGGCGCTGGCTAGCTCTTCGAACTGCTTTTCCCCAGAGAAGCGTGAACCTCATCCCCTTACTTGCTCTTCATTCATTCAAAATATAAATATTTACTATGTGTCAATCACCAGCTAAACCGAGGGGATAAAAAGTGAGAAAAAAACACGCCCCACCATGCCCTCATGGAACTCAGAGACTAATGGGGGAGGAAAAACATTAATTAGAAGCTCACTGAAACAAATGTAAGATTACAACTTTGAGAAGTGCTAAGAAGGAGAGGTAGGTGTTCTGTGAGAGCATGTTAGAGAGGATCAATTTAATTTGGGTATTGGAAGGTTTCCCTGGGGAAGCGACGTGAGCTGGGAGCTGAAGGAAGGGTAGGAGTGAGATGGCATGCCAGGTGTGTGCAAAGTTCTTAGGGCAGGAGGGAACGTGACGCCTTTAGTACCGGTGAAAGATAATCTAACAAAATTGAAATCAGGCGCCTCAGGGTGCATAGCTAAGTATTACTCTCCTTATTAATGAGCTACGACCCTGGAAATTTTTATAAGCAAAACTACCTGGTGTTGAAAGAAAATATTTGCCTTGGGCTTTCTAACATGATGAGTTCACGTTTCCTAAAACATACTGGGAAAGGTAAATGTGTTCCCCATTAGCTTTGAAGTTACTAACTTGCCATTTTAATTTTCTTTCAGTTCTGTCATGAGTTGCTAAAATCATGGTGAAATGTTGTTCGGCCATTGGATGTGCTTCTCGCTGTTTGCCGAATTCCAAGTTAAAAGGATTGACATTTCACGTGTAAGATTTTGCTATAGTTAAGCCAAGTACTTTTGACTGTTACGAAAAACTACTTATACTTAAATCTTGAATTTTAAACTTTAGTTTCCAAGTTCTTTTTGAATAACCTTTTTTAGTTAAATTTGAAGTGGCAGCGATACCTTTAGGTTTTTATAAGTAATTAAGAAGTTTAAGATACCTGCTGAGGAGTGAGAGACTGGTTAACCAAAAACATCAAACTCACTTTTGCTATTATTATTATTTTGCATTTTAAATGCCTTCAAAGAAATTCAGTGTTGTTTACATGTAGTTTAAAATCTGAATGGTCTTTGCCCAGATACATTGTCTTTTCTGTTTAGAAATAGATCAAGCTTAGGTTGTAGGGAAAAAATATAAATTATGAGTTCAGACCAAAGGTTCTTCAAAAGATATTGCAGATAAATCAGGGTAGTTCTAATTTAGTATTTTAGGCATTCTCCTAACAACCGCAGGAGAGTAGTAAGATTTAATAATTATTTATTTAAGGAGTCCTAGTGGTACAGTGGTTAAGGCACTCGGCTGCTAATCGAAAGGTCAGCGTTTCCAACCCCCCAGCCACTCTGTGGGAGAAAGATGTGGTAGTCTGCTTCTGTAAAGATTACAGCCTTGGAAACCCTATGGGGCAGTTGATAGGGGTTTATTTTGCTGCTTTTGTGCCAGATGTTGTGCTACGGAGTGAAGAAAGATCTGATGACTACTTTGCTAGATAATAGGAAATTAAAAAGAAGTATGTATACTTTACCTTATTCCAAAAAATATTTGAACCAATTTGTAAAATTGGAAAAGATACGATCATTGGCCTCTGGATCTCTCAAAATAGTTCTGATCTTCAGAATTCCAAATTCTGCAGCTGTTCTCTTTGTTCACTGAGCATTTATAGACCTGCTGTGTATTAAATGCTGTATTAAGCACTTTTCTCTTGCTAGAAGAGTGAAAGTGCAAGGGACCCTATTCATTGGGGATAAAGTATAGAAACGTCTTCGGATAGAAAAATGGCCAAATGATATTCTCCATCATCTATAAATGAATAAAAATCTTCAATGTGGATCCTACTGTAAAGTATTAAATATTCTTTGAAACTTGTCTTCCTCATAATATGAGGAATATTGAAATGAGGGGTATGTATGTAGCATGATTGGCGCAATACTTTGAATATTAAAACTGGGAGATATGAAAGCATGAATCATGATGGTTTCCTGAATATTGCAGTTCCAAGAGTAATAACAAACTAGTTAAATTATCAGTTTAGTCACAGTTGAATAAGACACCCTTACTGCAGGTATTTATCAATAGTATTTAGTTTAAAAATATTTTTTGTATTTTTTTTCTAGATTCCCCACAGATGAAAACATGAAAAGAAAATGGGTATTAGCAATGAAAAGACTTGATGTGAATGCTGCAGGAATTTGGGAGCCTAAAAAAGGAGATGTGTTATGTTCAAGGCACTTTAAGAAGACAGATTTTGACAGAAGTGCTCCAAATATTAAACTCAAACCTGGAGTCATACCTTCTATCTTTGATTCCCCATCTCATTTACAGGTTTGTTCATAAAATACTGCTTACCATCGTTACTCAGTTTTAGCCTGGCTCATGGTTTGGTGATAGGTGGTGTCAGTCTGGTACTTTTGAAGAACCTTCACCTCTTTTGCTAGCATTTTTGTTGTTTGCTTATTCATTTGAAGTCCGTTCTTTGAGTTTTTAAGTTTGTAAACTGCTGCTTCATATTTTGTAACGTGTAGTAGGATGATTTTACCAGTAGCCACTCATGAACATTCGTACATTTCTAAAGTTTGGTGAAGCTGACTGACTAAAAACCACCAGTAGCTGTCAAGTCACCTCCAACTTATGGCAACCCCATGTGTGTCAGAGTAGAACTGTGCTTTGCAGGTTTTCAATGGGTGATTTTTCAGAAGTAGATTGCCAGGCCTTTATTCCAGTGCAGCTCTGAATGGATTCAAACCTCCAACCTTCTAGTTAACAGCTGAGCACATTAATTGTTTGTATTACCCAGGGCGTTTTAGAGTTAGCATAACTCAAGATTTGAGTAAAAAAAAAATGGAGGTTAACATAAGAGGGTTGAATTGAAGTCTGCAGTTCTCCTCACACTGGAGCAGAAATCAAGAGTATAACCATGAACAGGACCAAAGTATACTTCTGAGAGCCACTTGCTTGCAAGCGCAGTGTCTTGGTAGAGCTAAAAAAAAGAGAGCCAAAATAGACTAGTACAACAGGAGAAGAAGAAGTCAGAAAAACGAAAATAAAAAGGTTGTATAAATTGAATCTGGAATGTAGTTGAATCTATCAATCTAATAGAATTCTGTTTTTTCTCAATGATACTAGTGCCATGGGCTAGCTGCCTCACCATAAGTATTTCTCTTGACTTCGTATACCTGAAAATGTATTTGTTTCCAGAAACTATCGACTGATTGATTGCTTGATTCCTGTGTAGAAAATTCGGAGAGAGTCTGTGGGTTCCTACAATGATAGTAATGAGTCTCCATTGAAAAATATTTCCTTCCTGACAGCTGGAAACAAGTAGGCCAGAAGTGTACCTGCTCCCGTGTGGTGTTTCTGACTTCCTGCAGTTGATATATTGCAAGCCTGAGTGACCAAGTAGAGACTCCCTCACTTTCTTCCTTATTAATAAATATACAATATCTTGTGCAATTTGCTATAACGTTTTTGTATTTGGTTTTTGTCTACTTCATGATGTCATCTAGCTGTAATGTTAAAAGCACTTAAGAAATGTGGGCATAATAAATAAACCATCAGTTACTAACTTTGAAAAAACAATTTCTTTATAACAAAGTGATATATTCATTATAGAAGATTAGATGTTACTGATACGCAAAAAGAAAATAAAAATTAACAATAATCACGTAATCCAGAGATAACACTGTTAACACATTAATGTGTATCTTTCCAGCCATTATGTGTGAGTGTATAAATTCATTTATATTTCTATATGGATATTTTTATAAAAATAGGATTACGTTATATATATATATTTTTTGTTTGCTTCTTTCTTTCTTTTTTTCACTTAATGATAGCTAATACTTAATATAGTGCTTATTATGTGCCAGACACTGTCATAAGCACTTTGCATATCTTAACTCAATCCTGCCAACAACTGTGTGAGGTAAGTACTATTATTATTCTTTTACCACATGAGGAAACTGAGGCCCAGAGAGGTGAAATGCCTTTCCCAAGATCACAAAGCTATTAAATGGAAAAGGTTGGATTTGAACCTATGCATTTTGACTCCAGAGTCCACTCTTAACTACTACTTTCCACAACATTAAATATTTTTCTGCAACAATGGCTCTCAAACTTCAGTCTACGTAAGAATTGTCTGGGAACTTACTTAAAATTCAGACTCCTATGTTCGAATCCACCAGACGCTCCTTGAAAACTCTATGGAGCAGTTATACTCTGTCCTGTAGGGTCACTATGAGTCGGAATCAACTTGATGGCAACGGGAAATGCCCTACTCCCAGAGAATTTGATTCAGTAAGTTTGAGTTGGGATCTAGGAATCTGTACTTTTTAATAAGCACTCTGTGTGATTATGATGCAGATCTGTGTATTGCATTTTTAAGAGAAACAGTACCAATTTTTTAAGTAAACTTTGTGTTAGGTATAACATGTATGTGGAAAAGTACACGCATTGTAAGTGTGCAGATCAATGAATTTTAACAAAGTGAATACCTCATGCTCCTTAGTCACTACACCCCAAAGGTAACTACTAGCTTGACTTCTGTCACAATCAATTACATAAATGAAGTCATACAGTATGTACTCTGGCTTCTTTCCCTCAACATTTTGTTTATGAGCTTTATCAGTGTTGCATATAGTAATGGCCCATTGCCATCAAGTTGATTTCGACTCATAGCGACCCTATAGGACAGAGTGGAACTATCTCATACGATTTCCAAGGAGTGGCTGGTGAATTGGAACTGGCAACCTTTTGGTTAGCAGCCGAACGCTTAACCACTGTGCCACCAAGGATCCTTGCTATATAGTATTCCATTATATAAATAAACTATACTGTCTCCTTTCTACTATTGATGAACATTCAGGTTGTTTTCATTGAAACTGTCACGAATAGTGGTACATCTAAACATTTTTGTCCATGTCTTTTTGTGCACTTATGTATACATTCCTGTTAGACGTGGAATTGCTGTGGCTTAGTAATGTTGTGTGTTCAGCTTGAATAGTTATTGCTATAGCTCTTCAGCGAACTTTTACTAATTTATAGTTCCACCATCAGCATATGGAAGTTCCTCTGGTTCCACATCCTTGCCTGCACTTAGTGGTGTCAGTTTTATAGAACATTTTTAATGACCATTTAGCAGTCAGATCTATATACGAACAATATTTTACATAAACAATCCTTGCTACTCTACATTGAAGTTATCTTTCACTATTTTAAATAGCAGTATAACGAACATTGTTGTGGCTTAATCTTTGTGCATATCATTTCCTTGAACTAAATTCCTGGAAATAAAATTGTTGGATCAAAGATGATATATATTTTTAAGGCTTTTGCTTTTTATGCAGATCTCCAAAAGTCCCCACTGAAGCTTACCAAGCTACTCTCTTACTAGCTATGCGTAAGAGTGCCTGTCTGTCCATCCTGACACTTTGTATGAATTTTGTTTTTAACCTTTGCTAAAATTGATAGGTGAAAATGGCATCTTATTGTCTTAATTTATATTTGAATGCTAGTGTGTTTCTACATTTTTTCATGTTTTTGGTTGGACATTTGTATTTTGTGAGTTAATCATTCACGTCATCTTCTATTGTCATCTATTTATTCCTGTTTTGTAAAAATATTATATATTGAGGCTACGAGTCATCTAACTGCCATCTATAGTACAGACAGTTTTGTTTGTCTTTAGTTCTTGTTTTAGGTTTAGGTGTTTTTGTTTTTGAAATTCAGAATATTTTTATGTAGTCAATTCTTTTTTTTTTTGTTATTGCTATTACACTTTAGCTACCTTAAGATTATATAAACATCCACTGTATTTTTTCTAGTTCCTTGTGGTTTTCATTTTTATATTAACTTTACATATGAGTTTGAGTTTGGTTTTTTATAGTAGAAGATAATCATAGTTTTTCTTAATTAGTAGAATTTTACAAGATGGTTTGTAGCCTTTCTCCACTTCTGTAAAATTCCTTTTTTAATGTTATCCTAAGGACTTATGTTTATTGGTCTGTTTCTAGATTTTCCATCTAGTCCTAAGAAAGTAGCACACTGTTTTAACTGTTATTACTATGTAATATGTTTTTATATCTGGTCAGGCATATCCTCCGTCTTCTTTTTAAGAAAATTTGTGTTTCCAAACAAACTTTAGAATTATTTTCGGAAAGTTCTTTTAAAATAATCTCAGTGGGATTTAAAGTTTACTGGCTTTTAGAAGCAATTTCCATGCAAAGAAATGCTGTATGAATTTCTCTACTCCAGGTTAAAAAGGAACAAAAATTTAAGAAAGGACAGAAGTATCTACAATGATTTTTATTAACCATTCTTAACAGGGGAAAACAGAGAAACTTCATTGTAGAAAAAACTTCACTCTCAAAACTCTTCCAGTCACAAGCCACAATCACCAGCTTGTTGGTGCTTCCTCATGTATTGAAGAATTCCAAACCCAATTCATATTTGTAAGTAAAATTATTTCCTGAGCTGTTGTTAACACTTTAAGACAAGAATGCTTTCTCCATTAGGATCTACTTTCATAATCTTAGCTAAAAACTAGGGGTTTGGGGGTTTTAATTTTTTTAAATATGTAATGTCAAGAAATAAATATTGCTTTCCAGAGTCATTATAATTTATATAAAAATTATTTCATATATAAATGAAATAACAATGTTATTGTTAGGTGCCTTGAAGTCGATTTCCACTCATAACAACCCTGTGTACAATAGAATGAAACACTGCCCGGTCCTATACCATCCTTATAATCTTTATTATGCTTGAGCCCATTGTTGCAGCCGCTGTGTCAATACATCTCACTGATGGTCTTCCTGTTTTTCGCTGACCCTCTACTCTACCAAGAATGATGTCCTTCTGCAGGGACTGGTTCCTTCTGATAACATATCCAAAATAAGTAAGATGAAGTCTCGCCATCCTCGGTTCTAAGGAGCATTCTGGCTGTGCTTCTTCTAAGACAGATTTGTTTGTTCTTCTGGCAGTCCATGGTATATTCAGTTTTCTTCTCCAACACCATAATTGAAAAGCATTGATTCTTTCTTGATCTTCCTTACTCATTGTCCAGCTTTTGCATGCATATGAGGCAATTGAAAACACCATGGCTTAGTTCAGGCGCACCTTAGTCCTTAAAATGACATCTTGGCTTTTTAACACTTTAAAGAGATCTTTTGCAGCAGATTTGCCCAATGCAATACATCATTTGATGTCTTGACTGCTGTTTCCATGGGTGTTGATTGTGGATCCAAGTAAAATGAAATCCTTGACAACTTCAATCTTTTTTCTGTTTATCATGATGTTGCTTATTGTCCCAGTTGTGAGAATTTTTGTTTTCTTTATGTTGAGGTGTAATCTATACTGAAGACTGTGGTCTTTGATCTTCATCAGTAAGTGTTTCAAGTCCTCTTCACTTTCAACAAGCAAAGTTGTGTCATCTACATATCACAGGTTGTTAATGAGTCTTCGTCCAATCCTGATGCTGCGTTCTTCATATAGTCCAGCTTCTCAGATTATTGGCTCAACATACAGATTGAATAGGTATGGTGAAAGAATACAAACCTGATGCACACCTTATGACTTTAAACCACACAGTATCCCCTTGTTCTGTTCAAATAACCATCTCTTGGTCTAAGTACAGGTTCCTTATGAGCACAATTAAGCGTTCTGGAATCCCTATTCTTCACAATGTTATCCATAATTTGTTATACACACAGTCGAATGCCTTTGCGTAGTCAATAAAGCACAGGTGAACATCTTTCTGGCATTCCCTGCTTTCAGCCATGATCCATCTGACATCAGCCGTGATATCCCTGGTTCCACATCCTCTTCTGAATCCAACTTGAATTTCTGGCAGTTCCCTGTTGATACATGGCTACAACTACTTGTGAATGATCTTCAGCATAATTTTATGTGCATGTGATATTAATGATATTGTTTAATAATTTCCGCATTCTGTTGGATCACCTTTCTTTGGAATGGGTACAAATGTGGATCTCTTCCAGTTGGTTGGCCAGGTAGCTGTTTTCCAGATTTCTTGGTGTATGCAAACAAGTGCTTCCAGAGGTGTATCCATTTGTTAAAACGTCTTAGTTGTTATTCTGTCAATTCCTGGAGCCTTCTTTTTCACCAGTGCCATCAGTGCAGCTTGAACCTCTTCCTACAGTACCATCGGTTCTTGATCATATGCTACATCCTGAAATGGCTGAGCATCAACCAGTTCTTTTTGGTACAGTGACTGTATTCCTTCCATCTTCTTTGGATGCCTTCTGTGTCATTTGATATTTTCCCCGTAGAATCCTTCAGTATTGGAACTCAAGGCTTGAATTTTTTCTTCAGTTCTTTCAGCTTGAGAAATGCAGAGCACATTCTTTGCTTTTGGTGTTTTATCTCTAGGTCTTTGCACATTTCATTATAATATTTTACTTTGTCTTCTCAAGCAGCCCTTTGAAATTTTCTGTCCAGCTCTTTTACGTCATCATTTCTTCATTTCACTTTAGCTCCTCTGTGTTCAAGGGCAAGTTTCAAAGTCTCTTCTGACATCCATTTTGATTTTTTCTTTCTTGTTTTTGGATGGCCTCTTACTTTCTTCATGTATGATGTCCTTGATGTCATTCCACAACTCGTCCAGTCTTCAGTCATTAGTGTTCAATGCATCAAATCTATTCTTGAGATGGTCTCTAAATTCAGGTGGGATATACTCAAGGTCATACTTTGGCTCTCATGGACTTGTTCTAATTTTCTTCAGTTTCAGTTCGAACTTGGATATGGGCAATTGATGGTCTGTTCCGCGATCAGCTCCTGGCCTTGTTCCGACTGATGATATTGAGCTTTTCCATCATCTCTTTCCACAGATGTAGTCAATTTGATTCCTGTGTATTTGGTATGGTGAGGTCCACATATACAGTTGCCGTTTATGTTGTTGAAAAAGGTACCTGCAATGAGGAAGTCGTTGGTCTTGCAAAATTCTATCATGGGATCTCCGGCATCGTTTTTATCACCAAGGTGATATTTTCCAACTACCAGTCCTTCTTCTTTATTTGTAAGCTTTCATATTCCAGTCACCAGTAATTATCAGTGCATCTTGATTGCATGTTTGATCAATTTCAGACTGCAGAAGTTGGTAAAAAATCTTCGATTTCTTTATCTTTGGCCTTAGTAATTGGTTTGTAAGTTTGATTAATAGTGGTATTAACTGGTCTTCCTTGTAGGTATATGGATATTATCCTATCACTGACAGCGTTGCACTTCAGAATAGATCTTGAAATGTTCTTTTTCATGATGAATGTGATGCCATACCTCTGCAAGTTGTCATTCCCAGCATGGTAGACCGTATGATTGTCTAATTCAGAATGGCCAATACCAGTCCACTTCAGCTCACTAGTGCCTAGGATATTGATCTTCAAGTGTTCCATTTTATTTTTGACAACTTCCAATTTTCCTAGATTCATACTTATAAATTCCACATTCCAGTTATTAATAGATGTTTGCAGCTGTTTCTTCTCATTTTGAGTCATGTCACATCAGTAAATGAAGGCCCTGAGAGCTTGACTCCATCTACATTGTTAAGGTAGACTCTACTTTGAACAGGCAGGTTTTCCCCAATGGTATTTTGAGTGCCTTCCAACCTGAGGGGCTCATTTTTTGACACTATAACAGCCAGTGTTCTACTGCTATTCATAAGGTTTTCACTGGCTGATTTTTTTAAAAGTAGACTGCCAGGTCCTTTCTAGTCTGTCTGCTTAGTCTGGAAGCTCTGCTGCTATCTGTCCATAAAGAATGACCCTGCTAGTATTTGAAATACCAGCAGCAAAGCTTCCAGTATCACAGCAACACGAAAGCCACCACAGTATGACGAGCTAACAGACACGTGGTGGCAATAACAATGTAGAAGTTAATCCTTTGGTTACATATTTAGTTTGAAGGATGCTTTTGCAGGGATATTTCTACCAAGAAGATACGATCATGAATTCCTCCCTGTAAGTAGTATGTTTTCTATATGGAAATTACTAATTTAAAAATAGCTAAATCTTTAGGTTTTCTTGAATAATAATCATACTCATACAGTCTCTTCAGCCTTGTATTTATTTATTCATTTCATTGCTTGGTAGTGTTAGAGCCAGGCCTGGAATCCAGATCTATTTTACTATCTTGGTTATTGTAGCATAATAATTCTTAAAATCAGGTAATGTTAGTCTTCAAACTTTGTTACTTTTGAAAGCTTTTTTGGCTATTTTAGGTCTTTGCATTTTTATATGAATTTTAGAATCAGTTTACCAATTTCTACAAAAAAGCCTACTGGAATTTTGACTGGGACTGTGTTGAATCACTAGATTAATTTGGGAAGAATTGGCATCTTAACAATAGTAAGTCTTCCAACCCATGAACTCAGTATATCGCTCCATTTATTTAGATCTTCTTTAACTTCTCTAAGCAGTGTTTTGTACTTTTTGATGTACAAGTCTTTAACATCTTTTGTCAGATTTATCCCTAAAGATTTCATATCTTTGGATGCTGTTGTAAGTAGTATTGTTTTGTTTGCTGCTGGCATACAGAAATACAGTTGATTTTTGTATATTGATCTTGTACCCAGAAAACTTGCTAAACTCACGTTTTAGTTGCAGTAGCTTTTTGTAGAGATTTTCAGATTTTCTACATAGATGATCATGTTGTCTGTGATTAAAGACAGTTTTAATCAGGGAAGTAGAAAGCAAACATTCTGCTCTGTTGGCTGGAATGTCCTATAATCAACAGTTAACTCATGTTATTTGGAGAAGTTGTTCAAGTCTTCCTTATCATTACTGAATTTCTGTCTATGTGTTCTATCAATTATTGAGAGAAGGGTGCTTAAATCTTCTTTTGTAATTGTGGATTTCTGTAATTCTTGCAGCTGTCAGTTTTTGTTTAGTGTATTTTGCAGGTCTGTTATAAGGTACGTAAACATTTAGAATTGTTACGTCTTCTTCATATATTAATCCCTTTATTATTAAGTAATGGCCTTCTTTATCCCTGATAATATTCTTTGCTTTGAAATCTACATCATCTAATAATAATTTTTTAGTGTTATCACGGTATACTGTTTTCCATTCTTTTATTTTCAACCTATTTGTGTCTTTTTTATATTTGAAATACATTTCTTGTATGCAGCATATTTTGAGTCTTGCTTTTTTTCTTTTTAATCCAATCTGATAAAGTCTTACTTCTAATTGAGTTATTTAGACCGTTTATATTTAATGGGATTATTGAGATGGTTAGGTTTAAATCTGTCATCTTTTCTTTTTCCAATTTGTTCCATTTCTTTGTTCCCACTTTCTTCTTTTTCTGCCTTCTTTTGGATAACTTGAATAATTTTTTATGATTTCATTTTATCTCCTTTGTGACTTATTACCCTATAACTCTGTTTTGTTATTTTAGTAGTTGCTTTTTGGTTTATAGCATATATATATTAATTTATTACAGACTGTATTTGAGTGATACTATATTACTTCACATATAAGAATCTTACGATGGTATACTTTCGTGTGTCCTCTCCCAACCTTTGTGCTTTTATTGTCATGCGTTTCACTTTTATATGTTACAAACTCCATATTATGTTATTATTTTTGTTTAAATATTAATTTTGTTAACAAATTTTAAAAACATTTAAATCATAGGAAAAAAATCTTACATAGTTACCCATGTAGTTACCATTTTCAGGGCTTTTCATTCCTTTGCGTAAATCTATATTTCCATCTGGTATCATTTTCCTTCTGCCTGAAGAACTTCCTTTAACATTTCTTGTAGTGCAGGTATTTTGGTGGTGAATTCTTTCATCTTTTGTATGTCTGAAAAAGTCATTATTTAGCCATCATTTTTTAAAAGATATTTTCACTAGATACTGAATTCTAGATTGACAGATTTGTTTTTTTGGTACACTAAAGATGTTGCTCCACTGTATTCTCACATGCATTGTTTCCGATGAGAAATCTACTGAAATCTTTATCCTCTGTACTTAACATGTCTTTTTTTCTTTGACTGCTTTTAAGATTTTCTCTTTTCCACTTGTTTTGACTAGTTTGATTATGATGCTCCTTGCTTTAGTTTTCTTCATGTTTCTGGTGCTTAGGGCTTGTTGAGCTTCTTGATCTGTGGGTTTATAGTTTTCATCAAATTTAGAAAAATTTTTTTTTTCCTATCCCAACTTGTCTCCTCTTTTTCAGGGATTCTAATTACACGTACATGAGGCTGCTTGAAGTTGTGCCACAGCTTACTGACTCTCTGGGTTTTTTGTGTTTATTTTTTGTTTATTTTCTTTTTTTTAATACTCCTTTTTTTCTCTCTGATTCATTCTGAATAGTTCCTATTGCTACAGCTTAATGTTCACTGATGTTTTCTTCTGAAGTGTCCAATCTGTCAATTCCATCCAGTGTATTTTTTCTCACATATTGTAAATTTTATCTCTACATGTTTTATTTGAGTCTTTTTTATGTGTTCCATGTTTCTACTTTTTAAACATATGGAATATAATTTTAATAACTTTTTAATTCCCTTGTCTGCTAATTCTAACATTTGTGTCAGTTCTGGATTGGTTTCCATTGATTGATTTATCTCTTTTTAATGGGACATATTTTCTTGCTTCTTTGCATACCTGGTAAATTTTGGGTGCCACACATTATAGATTTTACCTTACTAGGTATAGGATATTTTTGTATCCTGTATTCTTGAGCTTTGTTCTGGGATACAGTTAAGTTACTTGGAAGCAGATTGATCCTTTCAGGCTCTGCTTTGTTAGGCAGGACAAGAGGAGTGCTCCCATCTAGGGCTAATTATTTCCACTACAAAGACAAGACTTTTTTGTACACTCAGTGTAATGTCTCATGAATATTGGAATTTTCTAGTCTGGCTGCTAGGAATAGGCATTATTCTCAGTTCTCTGTGAGTGTTGGTAACTCCTAATCTTTTCTGGTGGTTCTTTCCTCACCCTCAAGTAGTATTCTCACACACGTGCATGCATGCACTGACCTTACTCAGCAGAATACTCGAGGGGGACCCGTTGAAGATCTCAGAGTTCTTTGTCCATGCAGCAGCCTCCTCTCTAGTACTTTGTCCTGTGAACTCTAGCCATCTTGTTCTCTCCGGGGGCTCTGTTCTATTTCCTCAAAATTCTGATGGGATTCCCCCTCCTGGCTCTATAGCCTGGAATCTCTCTCAAGGCAGTAAACTAAAGGGATTATAGGGTTCACCTTGTTTGTTTTTCATCTCTCAGAGATCACTGCCTTCCTTGCCTGATGGCCATTATCTTGAAAACTATTATTTATGTGTTTTGGTTCTTTTAGGTGGGAAGGTCAATCCAGTCTCTGTTACTTCATCTTAGCTGGAAGCAAAAGTCCTCTTCACTAATTTTAATAATAAATAACTTTTTAGAATTGTTTTATAGTACCTTTATAAGAATGTCAGTATTATTTTTCCTGTTGTCAGATGAAGAAAAAAAAAAGTAGTACCCAGCAAAATTAAGCATAAACATAATAACTATTGAGAGAGGTAAAATTATCTCTTCAAAATTCTAGACATGAGTTCTCTCTAAATCTGTAATACCAGTCGTAAGACTTGTTTCTGTGCTCCATTCCTGTCATCTCTTATGAAGTAAAAAATTCCTCAAAATAACTTGTTTAAAAAATTAACAGTCTAAGTTTGTTTGGTAGATAAAAATTAAACTTCCAGCCCCACACTTAGGGAACTAAAGCTCTAAAGTCACTGAGAGTCTCATGATGTTCATAGCAGATACCTAGTCCCAGGTGAGAAATGTTTCTCTTCCATAATATTCTACTCTTCTCATATATGCCAGGCCTTAGAAAAAGCAGAAAGACCCTAGGCACCATAAATACTGCTTCTATTCCCCATCTTCTTCCTATGTTCTTTAAACCTCTAAATATCACCAGTAATTAACTTAAAGATCTTCTCCAAGCATAGTAAATGAAGAAACAGCTAAGATCTAGTTATAAGCTTTTATCTAATGGCTTGTCTGCAAGGTTTAATAATTTGGTCTTTATGTTTTTAGGAACATAGCTACAGTGTAATGGACAGTCCAAAGAAACTTAAGCATAAATTAGATCATGTGATCAGCGAGCTAGAGGATGCCAAGGAAAGTCTGCGGAATGTTTTAGACCGAGAAAAACAATTCCAAAAATCATTGAGGAAGACGATCAGGGAATTAAAGGATGAATGTCTCATCAGCCAAGAAACAGCAAATAGACTGGAAGCTTTCTGTTGGGGGTGTTGTCAGGAGAGTATAGAACAAGACTGTATTTCATGAAACAATTTCATGTTCTACCTAAAATCCACATTGGTACAATTTTTTAAAAAATCATCCTCATTTACCATCACTAAATAATATCCATCATTTAAATGTTTCTTTGAATCCTCTGGAGCATTATGCGTTATAGTTGTTATGCCAAGACTTTTTCAAAGGAGTACAGAAATTTTTGCTAGTTACCGTGTTGTTGTCTGACTTGTGACAATTATATTTTTATAGACGTATACTAGTGCTGTGTCACTATTTTAAGATATTAAAAGCTCAAGAAAACTTCACAGGATAAGAAAGTGATATCAGGTCAGCCTCATTAAGTTATAGCAGTAGGAGTTGGACATTTCTTAAGCAGCATTAGATTTTTGACTTCAAAAGAATATCTTTACTTATATATACTTTATGGTAAGTACATTGAATTTTACTTGAAATACATTTTACTATAAAGTAGAATTTGTAGTACATGTCCTTCTTGCAACTAAGCCAAGTTAGTTATAAATAATACCATAGGACCTCTTTACAGGGCACCCATAGCACTTCCCCTGAGACTGGCATATGGCATATGTTGGCTGTTAAAGTTTTCCAGAGCCAGTCAGAGAAGCTCTCCTCATGAGGTCTAAGTTTTTCATCATTCCTCCTCACTAGGAGCACTTTGATATGCTTTAAAAAAAACACATCTTTAAAAGCAAAAAAGTGTCATAACTCTGATTATTGAATAGTTAGTTGTTTTGACAGTCCTTCAGAACATTTTGTTTCATGACTAGTATATCAGCATAGAAGTATATCTTCAAAATCCAAATGTCGGTACTAGCTGAATACTTTCAGTGCTGCTTTGTATTTTATAGAAAATTATTATTGCTAACATTAATACATATATATATTATGAAACCATTAAAAATTAATGATTGCATTGTGGCTCTTCCAGTTGAAATAGGAATTGGAGAAGGGGTTAGAATATTCTCCTTTAATTAGGAGAGTAGATTACTGTCCAAGGGCTTTTATTAGAGAAATAGGTCAGTAAACAGCAGCTTTAAATAGTTTCTTACCGAATATACAAAAGAATATCTCTTAGCTATTTTCTGATTGATCCAAGTATCAGAAATTCAGCTTTTCTCCTAATTTCTTATAAAAGCAACTAAAATACAGTGTCATAACTGTGGATTAGAATGCAAATTATTAGCGCAAAGCCACATTCTACGTATACAAACCTCATTCAGAAGTCCATGCTATAGTGGTTAGAATTTAAGGATCAGTTGTTTCAATGTATAACTAGAAATGAATTGCATTTTGTGCTAATCTGTTCGTTGTAATTTTGTGATGTATTAATATCAGTAAGATTATGGTCACTTGCATTTTTTATTTAAGAATTTTCAGTGTTTTAATGCATGTTATATTTTTATGTAGGATCCCAAGCCTTCCCCCTGAATAGACTTTTACCCACATTTAAGAGATCAGCATTATGCTAAGTGGAAATCACTGAGGTCATATCTTTTTACTGTCTTAAAAAAATTCAGAAGCTAAGTATTGTTTCTTTTAGTTATTTAATTTTGAATTCACAGTGAACACTCTAATAGGAAGTTTGGGTACGATCTTAGGTTTTATGGAATACCATGATAGAGATGGAGACTTTTTTTTTTCCTCTTGCCCTGTTTGTGAAGATACAATTAAAGTAAGCCAATTCATGGATAAAAGTAAGAGGATAGATCCAAACACCAACAAAAAGAAAACCATTGCTGTTGAGTCAATTCCAACTCATAGTGACCCTATTGGACAGAGTAGAACTGCCCCCATAGTGTTTCCAAGGAGTGGCTGGTGGTTTGAACTGCCAGCCTTTTGGTTAGCAGCCAAGCTCTTAACCATTGCACCACTAGAGCTCCAGATCCAAACACAGTATGTCCAAAATTTAACTCCCTGATGGCTGCTTAGATAAATCAACCCTTCCTGACATTTGTAAAGTCCCGGTTTCTGCCATGATCACAATTGCTGCAGTTACTGTTACTACTTGTGTTCACTGTTACTACTTGTGTTCACAGTTCACAGTGAACTCAGCCCTTGTGGTCTTTTTCATTCAACCTAGTATCACTGAGAGAGTTAACTGTAGGCAAAATACTGGTTATCAGCAAGTACCTGGAGCTATTCATTTGCTCCTTATTCTCTTGGAGAAATGGTTATCAATAGAAAGCTTACATAAAACATAGAGCCTGCCCCACCTACTGCCTCAAACAAATACCTGAACACAGTCTACACCTCAGTCCTCTGTTCCCAGAGATTCCAGACTAGCCTGGGGAAGAACCATCCAGTGCAGAGCAAAACCAAGTCATCTGTGTCCACAGGCTCCTCAGGCAGCCAAGGCCGACCTAAGGGTTTCACTTTGCTTTAAAGCTTGGAGTGGCCTCTGGCTCTTGGAATAAACCAAAACACCAGTTCAACCTCAGCACCAAATCAGGTACGAATGATGTGACGTGGCATTTTTCTCCGTATGAATAGATTTTGGTTGCTAAAGATAATTATACCCTAGTTTTTAACTTGAAAAAAAGGGTGAAATGTATTGAATACATATTTACTTTTAAGAAAAGGTAAAATTATTACAGAAATAATGGAGTGGTGAAGAATCTGTATTTGCAAAAATAAAATATTTTATTCAGTAATGCAATCTATGTGGTTTTTATACATTCTGTTATTCAATAAAATGAGCAACAAAAAGACACGAGTATGTATATAATGTTCTTGCTTTAATTTCTTTCACATCTTTTCCCTCCACCAATAACTCTAATAGGGTCTGCTAGTTTAGATGACCAAGGTGGCAGGTCTGCTTTCACCATGATATCAACCTGCCACAGAGGTCTTTCCTGCTTTGAGCCTCACTCAAAATTGGCAGTCTTTCGTGTCGCCCAGTATATGGGTGAGAGTAGTATTCCCAGATATGAAGTATACTATCTTCAGAACACAGAGAGGGCCGTAAGGTGTTGTGCTTCCTTCTTCGTGGGAGATAACAAGGTGTAGTAATCTGTCTTTTACTTTAGAGGGGATATCCTAGCATGTCTCGGATCACTGGACACCCCTTCCCAATTTTTACCAATATGGTGGACCTCTGAATTTCATAGGTTTTCTCTTTCTCTCCCACACGTGCTTTGTCAAGACCTCAAATTTGCTAGTCACTTCTTCCTGATCCCATTGGATTAACATAATCTACCAGTTTAGTGAACTAAGTGATGCTCTGCAGAATGTCTGTCTGGTCTAGGTCTCTTTCCACTGTATTCTAACGGAAGCAGGAGAGTTAACATAGCCTTGGGACAAGACTGTACATGTATACCATTGTCCGTTCATGTGAATGCAAACTGTTTCTGATCGCGTTTGATAAGATAGATGGAAAAGCATGCACCCACCAGGTTAATGATTGCATACTACGTTCCTGTATCCATGTTAATGTACTCTAGCAAAAATACCACATCTGGCACAGCAGCTGCAGTCAGGACTACTACTCAGTTGAATTTGCCTTAGTCCACTACCATCCTGCAGGATCTGCCTACATTTTGCAGGGACCAGAGTGGTGGATTAATTGGAGATATGATGGGGACCACCGCTCTTGCATCCTGTAGACCTGTAAAGGTAGCACCTTTGCCAACCATATGGAAAATTCTTAAGCTAGGATGATGTGCAAAAAAAAGAGTTTACATAGAAGGCCTGAACTTGCTATCCTTAGAAAGGCCTGCTTGTAAAGTTGGCTCTTGGCCGATATCTGTGAACTTAGGTTTCGGAAGGGCCTCACCATTCCCTAACTGATAGAGTGGCTCACTGTGCCTAAACTGATTGTACAAACAATGTGGTTTATACTAAACACCTGCTTTCCTTCTGGAAGTATGGCATTTGGGTACATGCTAGGCAAAGTGTGTCTGTATGATCAGCCTCCAATAAAACCTCGGGCACTGAACCTCTAATGAGCTTTCCTGGTAGAAAACATTTTATGAATGTTGTCACAATTTGATGCTGAAGGAATTAAGTGTGTCCTATATGACTACACTGGGAGAGGACTCTTTGAAGCTTGTGCCTGGTTTTCTCCAGGCTTTTTTCCCCCATGTGCCTTTTTCCTTGCTCATTTTCCTTTTGCTTTGTTACCTTTCTCTGTAATAAATCTTAGCCATGAATATAAGTATATGCTGAGTCCTGCGAGTCCTCCTAGCAAATCATCAGTCCTGGGGGTGGTCTTGGGGGCTCACCCCACAAATGGCCTTCCAGGATTGTCCTGAGTTGGAGCAAAGAAGCCAGGCCTTTATATCCCACATCAATGTGTTACTAGATCCAGGCTGCTCAGGAGAGGGCATGCCCTTGGGCAAGACAGCTCACTTCAGCTGAGGCAATTTCTGAAGAAGGCTGATTGCTCAAGGCTGTCTGCTGGCAGCACTGCCAGCAGCTGAAGGAATAAGTCTTTTGTTCCTAAAAGGGGTTCTAGATGATATATCAGAGTATGTTGAGCTCTGCCTAGCTCTCACTCGTCTCCTTTCTATTTTAACCCAGAGTTACTTTGTACATTAATCCTCTCATTATTGAAGAAATCAGTGATAGGTCAGCCATCTCCAGAGTAAAACTACTGTAGCAGGTCCCTCTAATTATGAAAAGATGAATTTCTTAAAGATAGTTATACTGCGTGTTGGTGACTTATTATGGCTTATAATATTTGGGTGCTTTTTGCGTTTGATTCAACATAGCCTGGATAAAGATAGAAAACCAAAGATGTGTCGGTATAATACCAGATAATCTGCAAAAACTATCCAGACACCTCAAAATGCCTTCCTGCATTCCTGGTACTATTTTTATTGGGCTGATCTCTGATACTTTTCATCTCACATTTTTAAAAATATTCTCCTCATTCCTCTTGCAGTGACCACCAGATCAGAAATGTTACCAGAAGTTTAGCTTCCCATATACACATTACATCTTCCAGACATTGGAATCCTTCCAGGTACTGCACTGATGACACAAACCTCTCTGTCCAAACTCCATTTCTGTTGATTGTACACTGTTCACATCTGACAGATACAACCCGCTCCCCAGACCTCCAGAGCCAATGCCATGGTTTAAGCTAAGCCCTTATTTCTTACCTTGATTGGTGCAACAGACTCCTTGGTTTCCCTGTCTCCAGTTTACCTCCAGAGTGATCCTTCTAAAATGTATATATCAATAATCACATTAAGCATAAATAAACACCGCAATTAAAAGGAAGAGATTGTAAGACTTGATAAAAAAGCAAGACCCAACTGTATGCTGGCTACAGACAGCCACTTTAAATAGAAAGATACAAATAGGTTAAAAATAAAAGAATAGAGAAAGACATACCTGTTAACACTAATCCAAAAAAGGCTAGAGTGGCTACATTGATAACGGACAAAGTAGATTTAAGAGCAAAGACTATAAACGGAAAATGAAGGTTACGTCATAGTGATAAAAGGATCAATTAGAAGGACATAATTCTAAACATTTATGCACCTAATAATAAAGCTTCAAATGCATGAAGCAAAAACTGCAAGAAATATACATAGGCGTTCTCAAAAATATGTGCACAGACAGAGCTGAAAACAGTCCTGTAGGGAGAGGACCATAGTCTGAAAAGTCAAGGGGGTCACCAAAACCAATGGGGGGGTGTAGCAGACAGAATAATGGCCCCCCAAAGATGTCCACATCCTAATCCTTGAAACCTGTGAATATGTTACTTTACATAGCAAAAGGGAGTTTGCAGATGTGATTAAAGATCTTGAGATGAAATTATTCTGGATTATCCAGGGGGGCTGAATGTAATCACAAGGGTTTTTATAAAAGGGAAGCAAATGGGTCAGAGTCAGAAAAAGAAATGTGGCAGATTTGCAAAGGTTGGAGTGATGCAGGACCATGAGCCAGGGAATGGGAAAAGGCTCTAGAAGTTGGAGAAGGCAAGGAAATGACTTCTCTAGAGTCTCCAGAAGGAATACAGCCTTGCTGACCCATTTTAGACTTCTGACCTCCAGAACAACTGTAAAACTATAAATTTGTATTATTTTAAGCCACTAAGTTTGTGGTAATTTGTTAAACAATAGCAATAAGAAACTAATACCTGAGCCAAGGTAATGTCAGAGAACCAAGCCACAAACCTGGGAGCACCTGCAAAGTGGGTCAAACTTAATATGAGGCAAAGAAGGAATCTAAAAGGCTAGTTCTGGCTTAGTTTAATGATCCAGTCTGGGCATGGTGCATAGGTAGATTGTCCCAATTTAGGGGACAGGGTGAAAAGACATCCTAGAATGCTCATAAAATGTTTTCATATATCTCAAGCAAGGGATTTTGCACATGCATATAGAGTGCCATGCAGCAGAAAATTTTGAACGTGACCCAGATCTCTTTTGTGGGATGCAGAGATTCTCAGAAACAGATAAATGTTGTGAACTAAATTAGGAAGCTCTGCATTTCACTGACTCAGTATTGCAAAAGGAAGCAAGCAACATGATGTGGTTGGAGAGGACCAGGGAAGACTGACTTGCACCCACAGGGTCCGTTCCTCTAACCTGGCAAAGTTGCTTCTAGAGGGCCTCATTCTTTGCCTGAAAGAAGAAATACTCAATCCCTAGGAAGATCAGAGGTATAATTGGTTCCTCCATTGGATTAACTGGGAGGACTTGATATACAATAGTCTACTGAGAGTGGAGCCAGGCTCTAACAACTTGGGGCAAGCCTGAGTGGAGCCTGAACCATTGATGCATCCATTGACTACCTTCCCCATAGGTCTCATGGTCTGCTTTCACATTGCTTCCTCAAACTTCATTTCACCATAGTTATAACAACTATCATAGCTCCCTTTTGGAGAACCTGCTCAGGAGAAACAACCACTCTCCCTGCTCCCACATCCCTCACCTTCCCCCCAACTGTGCTTCTGATCATAAAATTGTGCCTGATGAAAAGCAAAAACTAGCAGAGATAGAAACAAAGGAAGAAGAAAATGTTAGATCAGGACCAGGAAATCCAAGAGCAGAAGACAAGTACAATTTGTAATCTAAGAACCACTTGGGGATTGATAGCAAGCACTAGTAATATCAGTTTAGAAGGAAATACTGATAACATAGCACATTCAAAGCTCCACATATATTTTTTGTGTGCCAGGAACTATATGCCAGGGAATGTGCTAGGCACTAGAGAAACAACAAAGAAAAGACACAGTTCCTGTTTTCAAAGAGGTTCGAAGGTGCACAGCAGGGTGGTATACTTTCACCATACTTACTCAATCCGTACACTGAGCAAATACTCTGACAATCTGGACTATATGAAGAAGAATGCGGCATTAGGATTGGAGGAAGACTCGTTAACAATCTGCCATATGCAAATGACACAACCTTGCTTGCTGAAAGTAAAGAGAACCTAAAGCACTTACTGATGAAAATCAAAGACTACAGTTCTCAGTATGGATTACACCTTAACATTAAGAAAACAAAAATCCTCACAACTGGACTAATAAGCAACATCATGATAGACAGAGAGAAGATTGAAGTTGTCAAGGATTTCATTTTACTTGGATCCACAATCAACACCCATGGAAGCAGCAGTCAAGAAATCAAATGCTGTATTGCTTTGGGCAAATCTGCTGCAAAAGACCAGTTTAGAGTGTTAGAAAGCAAAAGTGTTACTTTGAGGACTAAGGTGCACCTGACCAAAGCCATGGTATTTTCAGTTGCCTCATATGCATGCAAAAGCTGGACAATGAATAAGGAAGACCAAAGAAGAATTGATGCCTTTGAATTATGGTGTTGGCGAAGAATATTGGATTATACCATGGACTGCCAGAGGAATGAACAAATCTGTCTTGGAAGAAGTACAGCCAGAATGTTCCTTAGAGGTGAGGATGGTGAGATTTCATCTCACATATTTGGACATGTTATCAGGAGGGACTAGTCCATGGAGAAGGACATCATGCTTGATAAAGCAGAGGGTCATCAGAAGAGAGAAAGACCCTCAACGAGATGGATTGACACAGTGACTGCAACAATAGGCTCAAGCATAGCAACGATTGTGAGGATGGCTCAGGACTGGGCAGTGTTTCATTCTGTTGTACACAGGGCCACTCTGAGTCAGAACTGACTCAGCGGCACCTAACAACAACAACAACACACATAAGCGAGAAGTTCCAAAAGCCATAATCCAAGGGATACCAAGGAGTGCAGCCATATATCTTAGGAAGATGTATTCTTAAATTCTACCTAATACCTTTCTCCTCACTGTGTGCTGTTTTACTGGACAACACAAGAGTTCAATACATATGGTACATCTTAAAGTTTAAATGTCTGAGTCTCATTCAGGTGCATTCATTTGATATATATATTTGATATTTATCTTCTCAGGTACACAAAAAGAAGTTTATAGAAAGTCTTAGTCATCTAGTGCTGCTATAACAGAAATACCACGAGTGGATGACTTTAACAAAAAGAAGTTTATTCTCTAACACTCCAGTAGGCTAGAAGTCCAAATTCAGGTCGCCGGCTCCAGAGGAAGACA